CAGCCGCTGAGGTGGCGCCTGCACCGTCCTGCGCAGCACCCAGGGGAAACCTGTGGCCCTCTACACTTGGATGCAGCGCATGTAGACACTGCTGTGATCTGTTTTTTCTGCTAGAATCTACCTGCAGCACTGCAGAGCAATGACCTAGAGCAGCGTTCTTCAAACTGGAGGCTGCAGATCTTCAGGCTTTCCTCAAGGGATTTAAAGGAACTGCAAAAGACAGCTAAGATAGGTAAGTCTCTTTCAGTCACATTAAATTCCTATAAAAAGGTCCGCACCTCCAGAAGATTTTAAAAGACAGGCAAATCAAAAAGTTAGAAAAAGAAGTGTTCTACACAGTCACCAAAGCTAGAAACATGATGTCACTTACATTTATTTCTGAGGAAGTACACACAAGTTTATTTCTAAGTTCTCATGTGGCAAGTAAATATTACGGGATGCCAAGACATGCAAAAGAGTTAGCAGAATGTCACCTTGCAGCAGCTTGCCTGCCCTTAGACTCCAAACAGAAGTAATTCACATTGTATCTATATTTAGACAATCCTGGACATTTTAATTCACCTGCTTCAATTCAACAGAAATTGGTGCTAGAAGGTTGGGTTTTTTTCTTGCTCAGTCTACTTTCAGTGCTAATTGAGCAGAGAATGAAAACATCTTGGAGCACAGGGAGAGTTCTTAACACACTAGGCAGGTTGCTAATATTTTTATTGCTTCCTTAGTTCACAGTCCAACTCGTGAGTGAGATGACATCTTTTCTGATTTGGAAAAAATGTCACCTCTGTTCTGCCTGGATCCAGATTCTCACTTTGTTCATACCCCATGACCACAATTGCCTTATCTGCATCGTATATCTAAATGCTCCCCTCCTGCAGGACCTTCTGGCCATTTGGGCTATTGCCCAGGCTGGTCATCTGCAAAGACTTGATGGGTCAGAAATATCAGCTTTTTTTCTGCTGGATTTTAGCTGCATCTGTTTGTCAGCTAAATTATTATCCGTATGGTCACTATGTTTTATTAAGGAGGCATTTTATGATCTGGAAAGGGAAAGCTCACGCAATTCTGGTTGTTACTGTTTGTTACACTGTAAGGACGTTCTGAAGTGGGGTCATCACTATGGAAGAACTTTTAAAGGAAGAGTGAAGACTTTTAAGGGGAGAAAGTAGCTGAGGTGGCGCAGGCATTATGTCTGGCCTACTACAAACAGAGGAAGAAAGTGAAATGTGTGTTGGGAGAACTGGAGACATTCCCAGGAAATGCGAGAATACTCTCGGAGGGGCCTTACCCACAGATGACAGACCAAAGGAAAGAGGTTAACCAGGGACTCAAACCTAAGGTCTGATCAGTGGTCGAGGAAACTGAAAAGAAGGGAAGCAGTCAAGTGCTACTGGACAAAAAGATAACTAACCCCTCCATGGAGAGCGCTGATAACAAGCCCAGCCGCTGAAGAGCAGTGTGTTTCCAAAGAAAGGTTACCAGCTTTTGTAATAGTTGATAATCCCCTAGATAAGGAAGTAGCTGGTAAAAGATCCAGCTGTTGATCGCTACCATTTTCAGTTGGTATACGATACTGCAGTAGATTGGTATTTCTGTATTTTTAGATATTGTCTTTCAGCGTCTGAAAATAAAAGTGGTGCAAGTAGAAGTTCCGTAGAAGCCTTTGTCACAATAACCATCAAATATGCATTAGGAACCCTGTGTGCCAGTATCACCGGTTTCTTGGCCACTGTCCTCACCAGAATACTTGAGAAAGCACAGAAATAAAACTCTGTTATTTTGCAGGAAAACTGCATGTAGTAGTAGCCTCCAAAAGGTGGGCAAACTCAGAAGCAGCTCCCATACTAAAGCATCCTGAAATGTTGCTAAGCCTTCTTCCTATTGGAGTGAGAGAACTGAACGATAGATGAACAAAGTTACAATTATTTCTGTCATACTCATGTAGCCTGACAATGAGAGAGACAAGTCTTTCATATACCATTCCAGCAGTGCCCTAAGAAACTGTTGTTTCCAAGAAAACTGCTACCGTAAGAAATCACAGAATCACAGAATGCTTAAGGCTGGAAGGGACCTCTAGAGATCACCTAGTCCAACCTCCCTGCACACACAGGGTCACCTAGAGCATGTGGCACAGGACCACATCAGGCAAGTTGAAAATTCAATTTTCTAGCATTAAGAGGGAATGTAATGTTTACATGTAGCTGTGAATCCTACACAAAGGGTTTCATTAATCAATTAAAACCAAAAATGCCTGACCTGACCAGAACATGTCTTAAAGGATGACTTAAGAGTTTACATTGGATTCCAGGGCTTTATATTTGTTTTGTTGCTTTCTGAGTCAAGAAGGACAAGTTAGATAGTTTGTACAATAAGATTTCCTGGGGTCAGTTTGGAATTTGATACTATAAAAGCTATGTTGTACAGCAGAAATTAGTCTAAACTCCCTTTATTTCTTCTCATCCCAAAAGTTTATTCAGTTACATGGATTTGTTATTAATTACCAGTCCATAAATCATGATTGGTAATTATTAAGATATAAATAATATAAGTATAAATAAAAATACTAATATAATATAAAATGGATGAGAGAGTTAGGAAAGCAGATTGCGAAAGGTCAAGCTGCTGCTTATTTATCAGTCTCTGGCACTTAAATTCCCTGGGTGGGTCGAATTTCAGGATTCCTTCAGTATCTCTGGAACAAGTAGAAACCAGTGAATGAGTATGTGCTTTCAGCTCATTAATGTTAATACTTTCCATATTGTTAATACAAATCTGAACACTAAGGACTGCTTGAATGTTAAAATCTCTCCATGTGACTACTTTTAAGGAACTTAAAAGCTGAAACGGAACTAGAGAAAAAATCCAAAGGCCAAAAGAAGGCTAATCAAAAAAAAGATTCATACCTATAAAAGTTTCTGATGTATTTCATTTAAACCATTTCGGATTTATTTCCTCAGAGAAAACGCGTGTGAGTACTAGGATTACAGATCAGTAAAATTCAGTGGCCAAGTTATTCGATAAGTCCTCCAACATCTGGTGTTTTAGTATGCACCTGTATTTTAAGAGTTACTTAATCTAGATTTCATAAAAGGACCCCACTCTTCAGAAAATGCTACACATTTTATAATCAAGAACCATTTGTGATTTCTTTAGTTCAATATCCAAAAGACAGTATCCGGTTTTGAAAAAAAAAAAAAAACAGCCACAGAGCAAGGCATTTGTATATATTATGTTAACATATCTTCTTAATTGTCTTAAGTGCCCCAGCAGTCACGTACATTGCTGTTCTTCCCTGAACACCCCTAGGATTTTAGTGCCATTACAGTGAATGCTGTTATACTCAGATACAAGATGTTTCTACTCCGTAGTCTCATAGCACTGGTGTGTTTTGGAAACCATGCCATGCTGCATCATGGCACCTTCTCTCAGTCAGTCTGACACCAGCCCAATCATGGAAGGGCAGTTTTAGCAAAATATGCTCAAACTGCTTCCTCTTCGATACTCCTCAGTCCGACAATCTGAAATTTGTGCTTTTCAGATGACAGCTTTCACCATTCCTATGATTTATTTATTTATTTATTTTATCTTCAGGAATATGTCTTTTGCAGCTTGAGCTGCATTTTTCTCTAGCTGTTTTCTCAAGCATGCATAATTGAACTGAAATATC